ATGTTCACCGCGGGATTTTTTTATGCACAAATCTACTATATTTGGTAGAGTTTGCAAATGATAGAGGCGTTGTTAGTGCGAATGCACAAATCTACTTTATTCCTATCCGATTTGTCAATTTCTCCTTGAATACATCGACTAACAGAAATCCAAATCGACGTATGACATACGGCATTCCCAGAATCCAAGGACACATGTAGCTGTGGCCGTTAGTGTTGTCTTGTAAACCTCCTCCCAACCAAAATGTTCATCGGATGATTTTCCTCGTGCATAAATCTACTGTATTGATTAGTATTTGTAAATGATGGGAGACGTTGTTGGGGCGAATACATAAATCTACTCTATTCCCATATGATTTATTAAGTTTGAAGAAGGCCAACCAGTTGAAATACGAAGCGATCGACCTATGATATCCCAAGAATTCAATGACACGTGCACGTAGTTGTGGCCATTAATGTTGTAACGTTAACCTCCTCCCAACCAAAATGTTCACCGGTTGGTTTTCCTCGTGCACAAATCTACTGTATTTGCTAGAGTTTGCAAATAATAGAGGCATTGTTGGTGTGAACGCACAAGTCTACTATATTGCCATCTGATTGGTTAGATTCACCTTGAATATGGCAGCCAACCGAAATCCAATTTGACGTACGACATACGGCAGTCTAATAATTCATGGATACGTGCACATAGGTGTGGTCGTTAATGTTGTAGTGTTAACCTCCCCAGCCAAAATGTTCACCGGGTGATTTTGCGTGTGCAGAAATTAACTGTATTTTCTAGAGTTTGCAAATGATGAAGGCGTTGTTGGTGCGAAAGCACATTTCAGCCAAGGCTACAACAAGGATTTGTTCAGGAGGTGCTCAACTTGTCGCCTTGGCCCCAACGGGATGGGCTGAAGATTTTGGGGGTGTGCATTGTGGTACGCGAGTATGGGTGATATTTTATCATCATTGCCGCTACTTCAAAAACACAAGTTTCATGCTTTACTGGATGAAGTTTGATTTTAGGAAAGCAAATAGTGAGCTCAAAACTTTCCAATGTTTTTTAACCTACAAACATCTAAACTGGCGAATTGTCAGTATTTCAATTACTTAACAACTGTTATGTTCAATTACTTAACAACTGTTACGGTCTAAATTTGGTACCCAACTGCAATACAAGAGGTTTTTCGTCCATTAAACTGTTGGAAAGATGCAGATTTGCCTCTTTTCCCTATTGGGAGATGCATAATGATAAAGTGTGGCGGTTCTCTCGCTGGTGGTGGCTCAACGAGCATGTTTATCAAAAACAGGAAAATACTTCCTCCGTTTCAAAATAGATGACTCAACTCTATACTAATTTTAGTATAAAATTGGATCATCTATTTTGAGACGGAGGGAGTAGGTGATATCATTTTAAAAACCAAGTAAGAAGAAGAAGAATGAGGGAAATCATCCATTCCTCCGACGAGTATTTTCGGACGGAGGAAATATAAAATTATTGACGTTCGCAAGAATACATAAATTATGCAATTTTTATTTTAATAGTCTAAAACAAATTTACAAGAAATTTAAAAATAGGATTTCATGGATCGATTTGAAACCCCTAAAATATATAGTAGTTGTTTTTGTGAAAAGTTACCGGAAACCATTGTAATGTCAAGAACAAAATCAGATGTTTAGTCTCCTCACAGATTCTCGCAGGCAGAAGAGGGCTGTAAATCCACTCGACACGCTGGACTCGAAACTCTTACCGGGGCTCGCCGCGTTTCAAACAGGAGTAGTGTCCGCCCATCGTAAATGACATCTCTCGGTCTCGGGCAGCACCGCTAGAGACGAATCCTCCAACCAAATCAACACACGAATGAATGAATATATATTGTTCTCTCCGAGGAAAATACAGCATTATAAAATGAAAAAAAATGCAGCCATTGGGTCAAAGCGGCCGGGTCTGTGGTGCCTGCGCCCGAGGCCCCGACCCGAGCCCGAGACCACGTTATAAAACCCACCCAACCCAATCCCCCAAAATCAGAAGCAGAGGGAAACCGAGCACACCCCACCCCACACACCACGCCACGCCTCCCCACACCACGCCAAACCAAACCCAAAAAAATCACATTTTTCTACGAGCCCTCGTGTCCAAAGCCAGGCGAGACGAGACGAGACCACCCTCCCGTCTCACACTCCCCCTTGTCTTTGTCTCCACTCTCCGGGCCTCGCCGGGAGCGTGAGCCCCCTCCTCCCCCGACCCCGAGAGAGCCAAGCAACCCGAAACCCCAATGCGTCTCCGCCGCCTCCCCCCGCTCTCCCTCCTCCTCCTCCTCGTCCTCCTCGCCGCCGGCGGCGCGGCGGACGGCGACGCGGACGCGCTGCTCGCGGCCAAGGCGGCGCTGTCGGACCCCACGGCCGCGCTCGCCTCCTGGGCGGCGGGCAACGGGACGACCGGCGGGTACGCGCACTGCGCGTGGGCGGGCGTGTCGTGCGGCGCGCGCGGGGCCGTCGTGGGCCTGGCCCTCGGCGGGCTCAACCTCTCGGGCGCTCTGCCGCCGGCGCTGTCCCGCCTGCGCGGCCTCCTCCGCCTCGACGTCGGCGCCAACGCGCTCTCCGGCCCCGTCCCGGCCGCGCTCGGCCACCTCCGCTTCCTCACCCACCTCAACCTCTCCAACAACGCCTTCAACGGCTCCCTCCCGCCGGCCCTCGCGCGCCTGCGCGGCCTCCGCGTGCTCGACCTCTACAACAACAACCTCACCAGCCCGCTCCCGCTCGAGGTCGCGCAGATGCCCATGCTCCGCCACCTCCACCTCGGCGGCAACTTCTTCTCCGGCGAGATTCCGCCCGAGTACGGCCGCTGGTCGCGGCTGCAGTACCTCGCCCTCTCCGGCAACGAGCTGTCCGGGAGGATACCGCCGGAGCTCGGGAACCTCACCAGCCTCAGGGAGCTCTACATTGGCTACTACAACGCATACTCCGGCGGGGTCCCGCCGGAGCTCGGCAACCTCACCGACCTCGTGCGCCTCGACGCCGCCAACTGCGGCCTCTCCGGGAAGATCCCGCCCGAGCTCGGCAGGCTGCAGAAACTCGACACCCTGTTCCTGCAGGTGAACGGCCTCACCGGCGCCATACCGTCGGAGCTGGGCAACCTTCAAAGCCTCAGCTCCTTGGACCTCTCCAACAATGCGCTCGCCGGCGAGATACCGCCCAGCTTCTCCCAGCTCAAGAACATGACGCTGCTCAACCTGTTCCGGAACAAGTTGCGCGGCGACATCCCCGACTTCGTCGGCGACCTGCCAAGCCTCGAGGTGCTGCAGCTCTGGGAGAACAACTTCACCGGCAGCGTGCCCCGCCGCCTCGGCGGCAACAATCGCCTCCAGCTGGTCGACCTCTCCTCCAACAGGCTCACCGGCACGCTGCCGCCGGACCTCTGCGCCGGGGGCAAGCTGCACACGCTCATCGCCCTCGGCAACTCCTTGTTCGGCTCCATCCCCGACTCCCTCGGCCAGTGCAAATCCTTGAGCCGTATCCGTCTCGGAGAGAACTACTTGAACGGCTCCATTCCCAAGGGGCTCTTCGAGTTGCAGAAGCTCACTCAGGTCGAGCTGCAAGACAACCTCCTCACCGGCGACTTCCCTGCTGTGGTCGGCCCCGCGGCGCCTAATCTGGGGGAGATCAACCTGTCCAACAATCAGCTCACCGGTGCATTGCCGGCATCCATTGGAAACTTCTCTGGTGTTCAGAAGCTGCTACTTGATCGCAACTCGTTCTCCGGCGTGTTGCCTGCCGAGGTTGGGCGGCTGCAGGAGCTGTCAAAGGCCGACCTTAGCGGCAATGCGATCGAGGGAGGTGTGCCGCCGGAGATTGGGAAATGCCGGCTGCTCACTTACTTGGACCTGAGCAGGAACAACCTCTCCGGGAGGATTCCTCCGGCCATCTCTGGAATGAGGATACTGAACTACCTCAACTTGTCCAAGAACCACCTTGATGGAGAGATACCTCCATCCATCTCCACAATGCAGAGCTTGACGGCGGTCGACTTCTCATACAACAACTTATCCGGGCTCGTCCCAGGGACCGGCCAGTTCAGCTACTTCAATGCCACATCTTTCGTTGGCAATCCAAACCTGTGTGGACCATACCTTGGTCCATGCCGCCCTGGCATTGCTGATGCTGGTCACACCAACCATGGCCATGGAGGGCTGTCTAGTACCATCAAGCTGCTCATTGTGTTAGGCTTGCTTCTTTGCTCCATTATATTTGCCACCGCGGCGATTCTGAAGGCGCGGTCGTTGAAGAAAGCCAGTGATGCACGGATGTGGAAACTCACTGCATTCCAGCGCCTTGATTTCACCTGTGATGATGTGCTCGATTCCCTGAAAGAGGAGAACATTATTGGCAAAGGCGGGGCTGGAACTGTGTACAAGGGATCAATGCCCAATGGTGATCATGTGGCCGTGAAGAGGCTCTCTGCAATGGTCCGTGGCTCATCGCATGATCATGGATTCTCAGCAGAGATACAAACACTTGGGAGGATTCGGCATCGCCATATTGTGCGCCTGCTAGGCTTCTGCTCAAACAATGAGACCAACCTGCTGGTGTATGAGTATATGCCCAATGGTAGTCTTGGGGAGCTTCTCCATGGCAAGAAGGGCGAACACCTGCACTGGGACACTCGGTACAAGATTGCCATTGAAGCTGCCAAGGGGCTGTGCTACCTGCACCATGATTGTTCACCACTGATACTTCACCGTGATGTCAAGTCGAACAATATACTTCTTGACTCTGACTTTGAAGCTCATGTGGCCGACTTCGGGCTGGCGAAATTCCTGCAGGACACCGGCGCATCAGAATGCATGTCTGCCATTGCTGGTTCATATGGCTACATTGCTCCAGGTATTAAAACATGTATTCCTTTAGTTAAATTCAGGTAGCCTACTCTGAAAAGATGCACAATACTGATGTCATAAATACTTTGATTCTTATTGCAGAGGCTTGTTATAACATTGTGCTGTATGTAGTACTTAGCAATTGTTTACTGATATGACTTAGCTAGTAGTTTTGATGAGTATTCCAATGCTTACTGACACCGGTCAAGTTATAAGAGTTTCCTTCCCAAGCCCGCTATCAAGATGTAGATTCTAAAAATTGAGACATTGAGTCGTTCTTTTATTAGTCCTGAATCACATCTGTAAACATAGCGTCTGCTTCTTAGTACCACCTCATTGCAATTAATTCGTAACTCGTAAGAGGTTTTTGATTTAAGAAAGCAGGCACTCCCTGTCTATAGTTAGGTTCAGTTACTTCAATTCTTTGTCTTGTACTCTAACTTGACATTTCTCTAGCTGCGAAAGAACGTCAGTGTATCACTTTCTAACTAACCAATCTTGCATTATTTTGTCATCCGTGGCTGTCCAGAATATGCATACACCCTCAAGGTCGATGAGAAGAGCGACGTCTACAGCTTCGGCGTGGTGCTTCTGGAGCTCGTCACCGGGCGTAAACCTGTGGGGGAGTTTGGCGACGGCGTCGACATTGTCCAGTGGGTCAAGATGATGACAGGCCCAAACAAGGAGCAAGTGATGAAGATCCTGGACCCGAGGCTGTCGACCGTGCCGGTGCACGAGGTCATGCACGTATTCTACGTCGCCCTGCTGTGCACCGAGGAGCACAGCGTGCAGCGCCCGACGATGCGGGAGGTCGTGCAGATCCTGAGCGAGCTCCCAAAGCCAGCTGCCAACCAAGATGGAGAAGAAGAGCTTCCTCTCTCCTGCGAAGGACCTGAATCCAACCCTCCTGCCCCAACCAGTTACACCGAGGCACCAGCCGGCGACGCGAAAGATCAGCAGCCGCAGCAGCAGCACACAAGCTCGGAGTCGTCGCCTCCTGATCTCATCAGCATCTGATCATCCAAGTACCCGGAAGCATCGCCGTCCGTCGCAAATATGTTGGGGCTTCCTTTGATCGTGCAAGCTTAGGCCTGAATCTGGGGTTCGTTGGGTGAGAGACTTTGTTGGTGTTGTGCTGTACATATCCAAGCTGCTTTGGTGGTGGGGGTGTCCAAGAGCTTCCAGTTTGGTGTGTGTTTGCCTGTTTGGTACTTTGCTTTGCTGCTTGTAGCCGTAGGGATTATGTGGTAGTGGAGCCTTTGATGATCTTTCCTTGTGCAATGTAGTAGTAGTATCAGTAGTAGCCATCTACTAAATGCCAAGCTCCTTTCCGGTCCGGTCCAGCATGAGAATCTGAAAAATCTTTGTTGTGGAACCATGGTCCTCTTTAAACTTTAAAGTGGCTTCTGTTGATCTGCAAATGTTTGCAGTAGGAGTACCACTTCATCACCAATGCTGTAGTACCAAAGAAAGAAAAGCGCTTTCTTTCTGCCCTCTGAGAAGAATGATAATTGCAAAGCGCTTTTTGTGCTGCCAAAGCGTTCGATTGATGCTGCTCCCTTTTTGACTTTGCTTGACGTTCAGAGACGATCAAGGAATCCTTGCTGATCCGAGGCCAAGCCGGCTTGCGAATGTCAAACAAACGACGCTTTGCCCTCGGCGTAACGCCAAGCAGCAGCATCCGAATGTGATCAGATCAGCAGCACTAGTGAGTGCACCAGTAGGGTCTAAACTCTAGACTAATGTCAGGCGATTCGCTGCCTGAGGCCCCATCTAATCTAATCTAATGATGATCGATGATGATGATGCGCCTCGGCGACCCCCTGACCCTGTGGGGACGGGGGTTAAATAATCATGCCGCACCGGCGCACGGCCGCTGCGACGTCGTCAGGCCGGATGATGGCTGATGGGGGCACGCACCGCCGTGGAACGGGACGGCGAACGGCCGGCGTGCCTTTCCACGGCCCCTCTCCCTCGTCTCCTGGCTCCCTTGATCTGATCTTACCTACCCTGCTTTTGCTCCGGTGCACACCCAACGGAAAGTCAATCTATTCTAGGGTTGTCCATGGAGTTTATCTACGCACGTACCGTGCCCTCGTCCTCGGCCTCCGGCGAGATCTCGCCCCGCCGCCGTTTTTTGCAGAGAAATAATGGTGATACTGGTGCCAGGAGGCAACAGAAGGAGCGTGAAATTAGGTGGACAGTGCGATCGATGGCGCATTGGAATTTCGTGCTGCATTTGTACCGGGCCACTGTTGCCGTTTTCTTGGGTCCCGTCTCCTCCCGTTGGATGCATGCGTCCAAAGAGAATGGTCACATCCACAGCCAGACGCGACGCGACGACGGCACTCCAATCTGGATCGCACGCTGTGCCTGTTTGTGTTGGCCACTCCGATTTTTTGTCGAAAGAGACTCCCTGTTCACTGGAATTGACAAAAAAGACCCCATCAAATAAAATTGACAAAAAAGACCCCTCTCGGCCGTGACGGCAGCCGCGCCAGGCGACACGTGGCACCCGCCTGGCGCCTGCCGCCAGCAGGCGAGGTGGCAGCCTTCGAGTAACTGCGAGCGGCGAGGCGGAACGGAACGGAGGCCGATGGTGAGACCGGCCGCCAGCATGGGAGGCGGCAGCAATGTGCCCTGCCGCCTGGGGGCGTGGCCACGGTCCTGTGCGTGCCTGCTGCTGCCGATCGCTGCGTCGGGACTAATGCGCCGCTTCTTTTTTCAAGAAGATACGTTGCTGGATCCTCGCCCTGGTGTGTGACACACGAAAAAAGTTGTTTGACTGTCCAGGTTCTAGAGTAATTAGACAAAAGCAATCAGCCAGTGGAGTGATAAGCACGAATTTGATTGATTGAGCGGCAACGTACCTATCCATCTAACTCGTGGATTCGCATCCCATTCCCTGCCATGCATGCATGCATCTTCCATGGCGTGTTGCGCGCACTGCCCCTATGCCACCTAGCCATAACGAAATTCGGCAGCAGCAGGCACGCACAGGCGTGCCGCCACGCCCCCAGGCGGCAGGGCACAGTGCTGCCGCCTCGCCCACTAGCGGCATGTCCCACCACCGCCCTCCGTTCCGTTCCGCCTCGCTGCTTGCTGTAACTTGAAGGCTGCCGCCTCGCCGGCTGGCGGCAGGCGCTGCCGCCTGGCACCGTGGCGGCAGGTGCCACGTGTCGCCTGGCGCGCCTGCCGCCACGGCCGAGGGGTCCTTTTTGTCAATTTCATTTGAAAGGGGTCTTTTTTGGCAATTCTATCGGGTAGGGAGTCTCTTTCGACAAAAAATTGGCCACTCCCGAGTCCTGCCCACTCATCCATATCCAATTATTGGCGTGGCCTCAGCCTCACATAAACTAAGGTCGGTCACGTAACTTCATTTCCGCCCCGTGTCCACTGTAATAAAACCCGGGTGATCGGGCGGTTCCTTCTTCTAGACCCGGCCTGGTTCTTGTAGCGGGAGTAGTAGCCTGTTGATCGCTTGGCGGTTCTGCCTTCTGTGGAGCGAGCGAGCAAGCAAGCAAGCAGTGGCACCGCTATTATTGAGACGCAACACTACTCCGACCACAGCTTTTAGTATCTCTCTACCTCTCTTGTTGGTGGCTGGTCAGAGATCAGATCAGATGATGACGCGGGCTCTGCCTTTCCACACTGTTCAGTTATTCACCCCAAGGCTATTTACACTCGCCTGCGGGCTGCGGCTGTGCCTGGCTAAAATAGGGAAAAATAACTCTCACCGGAGTCACGGTTTCTGCCTCTGTCGCTCGCTCTGGTTCATGGCCGGAGACAACGGCCAGTGCGAGCTTAATCCGTGTCGTCTCAACTCCGAAGTCTGAAGCCAAGCAAGCTGTGCGCGCAGGAGATGAGACCTACAGTAGCTATGAGGAGGTATAGGCAGGCAGATAGTGGAGTCCATGTGCCAACGATCTACTCTTCCAGGCAGACAGACAGCCAGACAAAGCACACGGGTTAGGTTCTGAACTAACAGGTTCAGTCCAAAACACAACACAACACAACGCCGGAGTTGGTGAATCAGATAAAGCGTAACTGAAGCGGAAGTCAGCGCCGAGGACGTCGTCGTCGTCGTCGTCTTTACCAGCCAGTGTTTGCCGAAAAGAAAAGAGAGTCGGTGGGCTCACGTGGTATAGCTATCATAAGGGGCTCCGTTGTGGTGGTGGTGCAGGGCTTCTTTCTTCTCTACTCTGATGAAGAGGACGTCCGTCCACCTAGCCGAAGCGAGGGCATACAGGAGCACCGCACACGGAACAACTGCTCTCATCTGGAGTCGGGAGCAACATACAGCGGTGTAGCACAGTTCAGTCACATGGGGGAGGCGAACCACTGCGACTGCGAGGGACCGTCGTTCTCGATCGCGCACGCGTGCGCGCGGTAGCAGACTTGTGCATGCAGCGACCAAGGCTCGCTCTCCGTGCTCCTGTTCGTGTCCGTGGTTGCGTCCCGTGGGCATGGGCCCGTCTATCCGACGCCGCTGTCTCGACGGTCGCAGGCTGTGCACCCGACCCGCGTGCGTCATCCTGCTCGATATTAGGCTCGCACGTAATGTAAAGAAGGTCGCCGGCGCAGCGCGCGGCGGGCACCACTGAACTGAACTGAAGCGGAGCATCATTGGTTGCCGACGGAGCGCGGAGGAGGCCGGACGGAGTCACGGAGATGGGAGGCATTGCTACACCTACACGCCGCCACGGAAACGGAAGCCAGCCTAGCTAAGCGTGCTGAACTGGGACAGGCACGTCTAAGTCAGAGCTGTGATCGGGCAAACTCAGCACGGCCAGCCCTACATTTTCTGGGTAACTGGATGCAGAAGCGTGAAGTGCAACGCCACGGAACGCGGCTGCAAATGGGGAGGTCCAAAAATTCCTCAGCATTTGACCGGCCGCCTACTGTTTGCAACAGATAGCATGAAAGCCAGCTCGGCTTCTCTTCTTTTCGGACGCACTCATGCATGTATCCCAACCATCGTGATCTGAATGCCGGTCCTCAGGCCAACTCCACCGCGCGATCCTATCCTGCCTGTCCCGTCCGTTTGAGGTAAAAGGTACAAACGAGACGGCCCAGCGCGCGGGCGCAAACGGACAAATGTCCAGATTTCGTCCGTTCTCGACCCATCCCGGGCCCAAACTTGCGCTCGGTTTGGAGTGAAACGGACGCGCGCGGACGACCGAGACACACGCCCTTGTCCCCCCGTGGCCCGCCTGTCGGGGACACTAGCAGTCCCTCCGCTCCCAACGCTTCACCCTCTCTCCCCACCCCGCCCCGCCGCCGGCGCCGCCCCTATTCTCCGGCCGCCTCCTCACCGCGCAGCCCCCCGCCGTCCATACCAAACCACGTCTCGACATGGCCGCCACCACGCCCGCGCTTTCGCCGTAGTTTTGGTCGTCTATCGGGGGAGGTCTATCGGCGGAGGGGACACGACTGCCGGCGACGGACCACGGCGGCCGAGGCAGATTCCGACGAGAGCTCCAGAGCGGCCAGTAGCCGGCCGGCAACCACCCCTGCTGCGTCGAGGTGATCATCGCGGCCTCTTCGCCACTGCGACCGCAAGGTGTTCGACCTTTTGCCAACAAAGGTATGGACAGTGGAGACGAGTTTTTCTTTCATCACTTCCTTTGTTCATCGGACGATTCGTCGTCAGATGATGAAGATCTTGTGGTGGCTGCACTGGTCGTTCACGACCATATTCAACGGCAGCTTCCTCGGTACAGGGGGTCACTCCCTGGCCGTGCTCCCAACCTGAACCGCAACAGGGAGAGAGGCCACGCCCTGCTCTATGCCGATTACTTTGCGAACACCCCGCTCTTCAAGCCGGATAAATTTCGTCGCCGTTTTCGTATGGCAAGGCATTTGTTCAACCGTATCCGAGAGGGAGTGGTTGCTCATGACCCATACTTCGAGTGCAAGACGGATGCCCTTGGCAAGCTTGGATTCTCCTCTTACCAGAAATGCACCGCGGCCATCCGCAATGCTTGCATATGGTATTCCAGGCGATCTGGTGGACG